ATAGCCTTCAAAGACTACAAAATAGAAAAAAGTGAAAGCATACACGGAAAAAAGTTTTTGGGATTATCCCCTAAAATTATGTGGTACTACTCCAATTTGTTGGATAGTATGGACATTTCCAATTAATTGGACGTATTTTTGTTATACGGAACTATGCGCCAAATTGAGTTCCTTTTGAAGATTTTAGAGTCCCGGATAGCGCGTTCTATCAAATGGAACTAAGCGCCATGGAAAAGCATTGCGAGTATAGGACGGAACGAGCATCGCGTTCCGCAACACCCGCCAATTCCAAGCCCCCTCTCCCTTCCTCCCCCGATGGCGCTTAGATCCGTTTGATAGAGATACGTCCAATTGTGGTGGCAATTAACATTTTAAACGGTAACCTAGTTTACGGGGGTATTACCACAATTAACTGGAAATATCCTTATCATTCAACAACCCTGGGGTAGAAGGGTTGTTGAATGATACCGGGTAGAAACACTTTATTCTGTGCAAATACATCCTAGTGAGGGCGCGGATTTTTTTAAGCGATCATACTGTTAACGAATTGGACACGTACGATGTGGTAGTTTTTTTCTTGAGATGGGCGTCTTTTGACATGCTCCCAGTGTTGTGTAAGACGCAGCCGCCGAAGGACATTTTATAGATCTGTTTCTGCTAAAAGAAATTACATCGCACGCAAACCTTATATGCGCATAGTTCCGTTTAGTATAAGAAAATCCAAATGTCTTAAAGACCCTTTCGGTTTTATGGCAAGTGAAAGTCAGGGTATTCTTTCAAAGAACAACTGAATGAGACTGAAGCAATCAAGAGGTACCGAAATTATGAACTTTCTTTTTAAAAAAACGCACAACCAATATAAAAACACCGCGTGCATCCTGGACTTCTTTGGAAAAATGAGCACGTGACATTTGTTGTCATCGATGCTAAAAATCAAGATAAATGTGCACTTATACAAGGAATAGCGAAAGCTTGCAAACTTTTACGAAGAATCCTTTTATACGTGATCAAAGAATTATTTCGTCTACAGTTCGCAAAATTATCAGAATTTTAATCTAAGTGAGAATTTTTGACTGCGTTCTTCGGTATTTAACAAAATGCCTGATTTGACTAATGCTTGCGACGTATAACCAACGATCTAGAAACTATACCTAGATAGAGGGATCCTATGATACGCCAACAATTAAATTCGGAATACACTAGGAGCAACAATTAGGTTAGGACGAAGATAGTCAGTTTCTATGGCCTCTTATGGGACTGTTGCTGAATACGGACTTATATGAAATTTAGAGCCAACCATTTGAAAATCTGTGTTCACATTTGGAACTTAGCCATTCATCAAGCGAGTTTCCGATGCAAATTTCAACGCTGAATCATTTATTGTAAAAACTCCCGTATGAGATACCGTACATTTGAGGTTATGACGAAGATATCAATTGGCCATGCCTTCCTACTCCCCGCCCGCCTATCGAACGACCGCTCCATGTGTGTCAAATTTTTTCGTAGGCCACCACCAATCTACAGTTTCTATATAGTTGGACACAACATGCACTTTAATGGAAGGCCCATGAGCCCCAATGGAGATGTTGCATGTGTGAGGGATTTGCGATTTGACTGTTGATTCTTACGTAAAAGTTCGCGAGAAACACGATGGTGCCACTAGTTTTCTCTCCGAAATCAACTCTCAAGCTCAAAAAAAAGCTCTCAAGTTGAGGCCAAAATGTAGGGAATATCCCACGCTATCGTGAGAGTACACCTCTTCATCAACACAAACTCTCCATGCAAAGATGGGGAGCAAATACATTGACAGGGTTGTCTGATTTCAGTGTTAGAGTCCCCAAATAAGGGTAGCACTGTAGCAGCCCTGTCCATATATTTGCTCCCCATCTTTGGATGGAGAGTTTGTCTTGATGTAGAGGTGGACTCTCAGATCAGGATAGCGTGGGATATCCCCTCCATTTTGGCCTCAACTTGAGAGCTTTTTTTGAGCTTGGGAGTTGATTTCCGAGAAAACCAGTGGCACCATCGTGTTTCTCGCAAAAGTTCACTTAAGTATCAACAGTCAAATCGCAAATTCCTCACACATGCAACATCTCCATTTTCGGTTACTTTCAGCAACTGACTCTACCTGAGCTGTCGTGAAGGTTCCCACCCGCGCTTGACGAATCTCGAGAGAGGGCGTCCCGTCCGGGGATCCAGCGATCGCGCGCGAAAAACCCCCTCGTCCAACGTCCATCTTCATCTGGTGAGCGGCGGCGGTGGCGGCGGACGGGACGGGTTCTCACGGGCTGGATGTCCCGCTCGGAAGTAGGTAACCGAGTCAGCGGTCGCGTCCTTTTGATATCACTCTCCGTTGCGGTGATATCACTCTCGTCGGCCGAAACCGGAGCGGGCGGGGCGGGGCGGAGGGGAGCGGTGAATCTTAAACAGCCGGTTTGTCACAGGGCCGCTGCTCCGCGTCGAGCATCCCGTATGTGTATCATTTGCGGGTTTTCGTCGCTCGGTCCGATGCGATGCGATCGCCGTCACGTCACGTCGCCAGCCGCGCCGCGCCGCGCCGTCAGAGCGGTAAGCTCTACTTATGGCCGCCGGTTGCCACGTCGGGGCGTTAAAAGCTCCCGGTGAAAGCGCCAAGTTTTGTCCCGACCGCTTCGCGGGAGTGAGTGATTGGATCAGCAGGTCGCGAGCCGAGATGGTATAACCTGACCAGAGACAATATAGATCCCGTTAGCGCGCGGGGTTGAAAAAATGCATTTTCTCTCAAGCTGACCGGGGACAGAAAACCTTGTCAACCCTACGAGGATCGTAATCATATTTTATCCACTGGACTTACTTTATTTCCTTACCACGTGGTTCAAGAAAATTGAACCCAAGTTGAGACATATGAACGTATTTGAATCGAAAGGAAGTACATTCATTCCGACATGAGCTCTATCATGTCAGTATTTCTCATGGATCTCGAGGTTCGTGTCAGAATGGATAGTTTCTTATTTCGACTTGAATAGTCTATTTTTGCTCTGGAGCAGATGTCTGTCACGAGGTGCATAAAAAGTACCTACTGTCGTGAGACGCCAACTGCAGGGGTGGTGAAATACTCCTCTGTTCACTTCGTTTTTTCGCATATTTTTAACTATTTATGTCTTCATCCTAGAAAATGTACATTGTTTTAGTATTGCACAATGCACATATTCCTAAACTGAATTCTTAAGGGGAAAAAAGGAAAAAACAAAATAAATAAGGTCTATTGATAATTATATGTTTATCCGTCGTGCTTTTATATCCGGAGGATCCGGGGGAGGAGGGCCGGTGGCCAAAGCTATCGGTATGTGAGTGACAACAAACCACAATCGTTTGGACACGCTAAAAGGAACTATGTGCTATGTGCATAGGATTTGCGTGGAACATAGCTCCTTTTAGCATAAATACGTCCGTTTTATCTTCAGTGAACACCTGTTTGTGTTAGAAAGTGACAGTCTCGTTCATCAGTGCCGTCCCCAGCTATTGAAGTAAATATACAACCAACTGGAATGACGAGTGCTGGATGAATTCCACACATACCTACCTTAAAAACATAAGCTTTTAGTTATTCGGGTTTTAAAAAGCCATGCGTTGTACCGTAGAACTGTCTATCATATGCCTGCTTCACACTATCAAAGCTAGCCATCAAAACATCAAGGTCAGGTGTTGTGATTGGCTAATTCGATGACTTGGACCAATCACAGCACTATTTTGATAGTGTGACACAGGACATACTCTATAGCCCAACATGTTGATCGTCTCCATCTTGTTGGTTAGGCAAAAATAGATCCTGCACCGTCAAGTTATACTTTCCTACCCTATCGTTAAAGTCTCTCAATATTTTAAAACGCCAAGCTGGTATTTTTTCCTGCGAATAAAGGTTGAAAACTGTTAAGTCGACAGGACTAGAATGCAACGATCCCTTGCAGTTTAAAGTGCAGTGATTTTTTAGTCGGTATAAATGTAAATTTTTCATCCAGCAAATTTTTTGTGCGTGATTTTGATAGAGGAACTTTTTTTTGTCCAAAGATTGAAAACATTTCCATTATACTTTTTCATAACATTACTCCAAGACCTTTGGCTTAGTTTCGAAGTTTTATCTTGTGGTTAGGGGGCACACCCCCTGACTACTCTTTGGTCCAACCCCACCAAAGCGCATCGTGCCTCAGACATGATGTGTTACGCGATTCTCGAATATTCTCATATTATTGAGCAAGATAAGGCTAATCTTCAGTAGAGTTCTAAGTTGGGTCTTCTCATGTTTTTTCCTCATGCTGATTAAAAATAGCCAATTTTTCGATGCCTCTACTGTAAATAACTCATGAAGGAAAATTTGCCTTTTTTCTTCTTTGAACTAGGGGGTAACACCCACTGACTGATATGCAGTCCAGCCCCCCCCCCCTCCCCAAGAGTCTTGCCTCTCAGACATTACGTTACTCTTATGATATCATATTATGGAGTAACATATGCAATTGAGGACATTACATGAGATATCATACTCAAAGTAAAAAAAACAGGCAAATTTTTTCTCAAAATTAAATTACAGGAAACGAATTATACAGTTACTTACGTTAAGCTTTTTTTTAGGAGAAAAAACACGTGGAGGTCAAACTTAAGGCAGAAAATACTACCTTAGTCTCTGTATACATCTTCATACTAAGCCCAAGTCTCTAAGAAATGACATTAATACGGGAGATTTGGCACGTAAAAACTTTCCTCGGGCATTTAAATTTTTTGAAAAATGTTTGGTCTAACAAAGGCCTCTACGAACGTGCGTACATCCTTTTAAATGTTTCTGTTGGTCTATCAATAAAAAATCTAACAAACATCGGACCTCATCAAATGATCCAAAAATTGTATTACTTCATGCTTTGTGTTATGCATAAAGCTCAGGCCAAGTATGATATTGAATGGCAAATTTTATGATGTCTCCTTCAGCTGCTCGTGAAAAATTACAGTTGTGAATGAAATTGTGTACTCACTATCGGCACAGACGAGTTGGGAGGCGGCCGCTATGAAAAATAGGACACGACCGTAGCGGCATGCAAGTATTTGCATCGCATCCTGTCGGCAAAAATACAAAAAACACACGGCTTTAAATACAAATTGGAACTTTATCAATTTTTTTGCAATCTTATAGATTATTAGTATAAACTCATTGAATTCGCCACATTTTTACCCAAAAAAATGCTTAAACATTTTTTTCACATGAAAGGAAACAAATTGTTTTTGATTTGAATTTTAATTTACGTAACTTACACAAAAAAGATACACATTTTTTAACCTTTGACATCTATACCGAAAACAAACGAAACACGATGTTTTGCTCGCGTTGATTTAAAGAGGTGTATTTTGGCGTAACTTTCGTGGTGGAATTCAGAAGCAACTTTGAACTGAGAATCACCCATATTTCACCAGAGACAACCAGAATACACTAGAGATAGCCGAACTACATCGAAATTGCCTAATTTTAAGTCGCACTTCATTTTCTATGCTTCTTTTTTTTATCCAGCTCTTGAGCCCATGTGGGCTTGGGCCTCCATAACAATGCCTTGCCACTGCACCCTTTTCTGTATTCTAGGTGGCAGTAGCTACTCCGGCCCAATCCTAAAAATTCCGCCTAAGAATTGACGAAAAAAAAAAAAAAAAAAAAAAAAAAAAAAAAAAAAAAAAAAAAAAAAAAAAAAAAANAAAAAAAAAAAAAAAAAAAAGGCGGGTGGCTGCTGCTTAACTAGTTATACACGAAGAAACTTGATCGGGCTTTTCTGCACGGTCTGCGGTCCATTTAACTCTCCTGCTAATTAGGTCGTAAAGTAAATCCCGAAACCCCTATAATATTTGGGTAGAATATGCTCAGCTCTACTAGTAACGCCCTCGTTTTTTGAATTTAGTTAAATATTAAAAAAAAGTTATTAAGCTTTAACGACAAATTTTGGACCCCAAAATATGACGATGATGGAATTGTTGAGCAGATACGGGGGCCCGCGAAACGGTCGGCCGCGGGACGACCATCGCCTCGACTCAACCGAACTACAGCTATAACCGTAGAAAATAACCCTTATAAAACTATTGATATTTGGAATCTGTGGTTTACGATGCAATCTGCTTTTTTTGCAGAATTGAAAGTAATGAGGTATAAGGGAGAAGGATTGATAATTACGTCGGTTTATTGACATTTCAATAGTCAACCTGTAGTCATGGCTATGGAGGTAAGGGTATAGCATGAAACCCATCAAACTGGGTATAATCAGAATCTGTAAACTCCAAGGATCAAACCTTTGAAAAGGTTGCGGACATATATGGACGTCAGAAGGCGAATTAATATAAAGAAGTCGGGTCCGTCAATTCTTCACAAAAAATTTGAATTTGAAAACAACCCGTAGAACCGCGCGGTGGATGGTGAGTGCCGACTCCAGAAGCCAAATTTTAGGTTATGTCACTGTTATTATGGCTTTAAATATTTAAATAATAGGAATAAGATAGATTAATCGATATGTGTTTCTATTTTACCATAGCCGAAAATAACTGGATCCATTTCTATATAATCCTTTGATGATTCCCGCACCCTTGAAAAGACTCCGAATCCGAAGGTGTCAATATTTGCGGTTCGATTGCCGCGGCACGGCGCACTATGGTCCGAATAGCCGGTTTAAGCGGCATTAAATCAGATATGTATGTTTAAACCTCGCAACATGAGTTTTCAGGGGTTTTTAGGGTCGCTGAGTGCAAAAATGCTAATATTCTTCAGGAAAAATCCATTTTTAACATTTTTATACTTTATATAACTGTGGTAATATTTTGTTCAGAAACCTTAAATTGAGGCGAGTCGTTCAAGTTGACGCGGTGGAGCAGTTGACATCGCATCTCACCCGTCTTTTTGATATCCCGGGTTCGATTCTCGGTAGACTTTTTTTTTTTTTTTTATAAGTTTAAAAATTAATTTTACATTGGATGGACTGTAAGAAGCTAAAGTATAGCCTCGTCAAACACTACTATCAAGGGAAGTTGAAAAAGACAGCTCAGGATAATACTTCTACGTTTCATGGCTCCAGAGGCCTACTTTCAAGTCCCACCGATCAGCCGTTTGAACTTGTTTTCGTCTGCCAAGCTAAACTTAAGCTTAAATATATCCATTTTGATAGATTATTTGTTTGAACCATGGGTAAACGTAAAAAAAAAACGTTTACGGGACTTCAAAGTGGCTTCCTAAGACAATTTCATTGCTCGGGAGCCTTACTTTCAAGTCCCACCGATCAACCGTTTAGACTTGTTTTCGTCTGCCAAGCTAAACTTATGCTAACATATATCTACACTGATAGATTATATGTTTGAAACACTTAAAAAGTCAAAAAAAAAACTTTTACGGGGCCTCAAAGTAGCCTCCCGAGGCGATTCTTTGCTGTTCTTGAGCACAAGTTTCAAATTGGTCCCGATCAACCCCATCAACTCGTATTATTCTGCCTGGGCAGATTTAGGTTCTAATGCATTCGATTTGCTAGAATATGACAATGGAACATGATAAAAGTCATCGTCAATGGCATATGATAGCTAATTGTTGTAAGTGATAAGAAACGCGAAAACGTCTTTTTCATGAGAAATAACTTGAGGCGATTGTGTGTGATTGATCTGCCACTCAGACTAAAAGGTAGTCTAGAGTCATGACAATAATTTCCGAGTAAAATTACGAGGTGCTCAGAGGTGCAAAGGATATTTTTTGGGTCCTACTTTTGCGAATTTATTGAAAAAAGTGACTATGTCTAAGGGTTAATCTAGAACATTAGATATGATGAAAAAGAACAGTTTCAGAATGAAACATCTTAAACTTATCTTATATATTTTGTGAATCAAGTGCCCAAACACTTTCAGGTACGGTGAAACGACGAAAACAAGCCCTTAAACACAGCACTGCCGCTCGGTAACTCGAATCGCACTCATAAAGTGCTCCGCGCGCCGCACTTCCCAGGCTTGTCACATCTTTATTAGTGCTTTAATCGAAGTGAAATTTTACAGGAGTCTTCTCTACAGTATGTACTATCGATCTACCGCTTAAAATCTAACTTTTTCCAAACTTCACTTTTTCGATTTATTGCCGCTTAAACCGGCTATTCGGACCATAGTGCGGCGCGCCCAAGCGTGTTGCCGATATCAAACGGTCACGTTGTGAACTTTTTCTGTGCAATCATTACACACGGATCACTTTTCTACCTGTACTAGGAGTGTTCCATTTTATTTTACAGTTTTGCAAATTCCTACCCTAAAATTATTATTTGAATAACACAATTGAACGCGAATTGTTTGTTTCTTTATTAATGTCAGCAAAATCGAGCTGGTTCGATAATTAGTCGGCAAAAAATGCAAGAAAAATGTTTAACAAGCTCAAAGTTAGATCAATATAGTGTGTCATAGCCGTCTGATCGAAGACGAACCAACAGAGGGGAACAAAGTGACTGGGACCATCCATAAATTACGTAAGGTACTTAGGGAGGGAGGGGGGTCTCTAACAACCTTACGGTGCCTTCCGAGGGTGAGGGGGAAGTGGAGCAGAGCCTTACGTAAGTTTTTAGCCTATATTTGAAGAGAATACAAAAATCTATTTTTCGTCAGGTTGATGATGAAATTCAAGATGAAATGGACGTATTTCTATCAAACAGAACTATGTGCAGACAGAAGGGTGGGGTGTGTTCATTAGTGCTCGGGCCATAATAATGAATGAGAAATATGAAGCGCCATTGACGTCAGCGGCAACGACGATCGGGAAGGCGGTCTTTAACTCATGAGCCCTGTCCACAAGGCTTTAGATACATGCCCACGGCTCATCGGTGCCGCACTAAGTTGGCTCGTAGTTCCGTTTGCTGAATTGGAAAAGCGGGATTTTACGTTCTGTCAAATGGAATTATGTGCACAGTGTATGAGCCGTGCATCTAGAGCCTTGTGGACAGGGTTCATGAGTTAAAAACCACCTTCCCGATCGTCATTTCTCTCGTTGTTGCCGCTGACGTCTCTGGCGCTTTGTATTTTCCATTCATTCTAATAGCCAGAGCACCATCGAGTACACCCCATCTTTCCCTCTGCACATAGTTCTGTTTCATAGAAATACGTCCAAATACAGGAAATCATTACATCAACGATTGCTGACCGATCGGACCATGCTCCTATCGTTTTTCTTGATTCCCACTTATCCACTTCGTGGGATGATGACTAGTGACTTCGTCCTTGTGTCAACTTTATACTTTTCACTATTCCAAAAACAAAAAAAAATCTTCAATTTTGTTCCACGAATTTTTGTTTATTACACTATTTGTATCCTTAATATTTCCTATGAACTTACTTAAGAAAATTAGTTTCACTAACAAGAATTTTGGCCAATAAATTTCATTGTTTTTTTAAAAGAAAACGTAATGCTTAGATCTGCGGTAATTGAAAAAAAAGGGGGGGGGGAAGGATCAGTAGGGGTGCCTTTCGGTACCTAACGAGTGGGGGAGGGGGGAGGTCTAAAAATGGGAAAAAGTGCCGTACGTAATTTAAGGACGGCCCCTGTGATTTCTATCCATAATGTTTTCATGAAATTTTAATTTAAATATGACCTGTTAAATTTTTTTCCAAGAAACTCTATGAAGTAAACTTAACACTCTAAGCGCAAACGATAAGGTTTTTGACGATTTTTTTCTGAAAGTACGCGTAATGCCGTGAATTTTGCCGCCTCATTTGCCTTTCTGCACCTTTCTGAACCGGACTTACGATTTTTTTAAAACTGGCCTATTTTGAACTTTGACCGAGAATAACTCGAGAACGAAAAGTTGTAGCGACCTCCGGTTTGCGCCAAAAAGTTTCTTTTTGTATTACCTTTCCAATGATGTATCACAAGAGCGGGGTTACCATTTGAACATTTCGAGTTTAGTGTGCGCCACACGCGGGGGGGCGCCCCCCCCCAAAAAAAAAAAATTTGGATGTGCCAAAAAGTAGCTCTTATTGATCTAGGAGCATCCCCAAAATTTCGTTTCGATACAAGCATGCGTTCATAAGTTAGGGGGGGGGGGGTAGGGGACTTTCCGCTCACTCTGTATGGATCCATGAGGTCGATGGAGGAAACCGGGGCTCAACATGACACATATTCTGTCTGTCTGATGCGTACATTGTATTCAAACATCGAAGTTCAAAAAACCTTTAATAATACGCAGTGTCGCGCCGGACGATCAACCCGATTGTCCCCTCATCAACGGTTATCGGGTGGAACTGGAATTTCTTTAATCCGATAAAGCGTGACTTGACCCTTTCGTGCCTCGGACAATGCTTACTGTGTTGCCAACCATTCCGCCGGGCATCCTTCAACTGATACACCAAAAAAGGCTTCCGGGGTTTGTTGCAGATATTTGGACGGTCAATGACCAGAGAGCCCCCCCCCCTCTCCCCTCCTCCCACTAAGAGGACGGTATTACAGCAATTGCGCCTTACCGATTTTTTTTAATCCAAATATTTAAAAAACAAACGTTGTAGAATATTTTTGGTCTTGGCTGCATTTGGTCTGTATAGAAGTCTTGAGGTACCATCGAAATCCCTACTATTTTTCTGATGAAACCATCGGTTAAAAAAAATAAAAATAAATCAGTTTTTAAAGAAAACTGGCGTGCAGAATTAACTCTAACTTGAGATCCTAGAAACTCGAACATGACATTATACTTTGACAAAAAACAATACCTCGGCAATGGCAGAATAAAATTCAAAAATAGTTTCTCTAACTATAGTTATTCTGAAAACGAGCTTTTTAACGCCATGACTCAGGTTTGGTTTGCCATTTTAAGGCTCTTTTGCTCCGTAAAGAAGTTTTTTGCGGTCTGGTTCCGATTACTCAATTTTAAGTTTTTTGAATCAAGGCCATTTTCGCATAGGTTTTGGAGGTTTTACACGGTTTTGCACTGTGGTCATCGATATAAGATTTTTTACATTACCTACGCAGTATGAGGTTGAACATGCTTATTACTTCATCGGGCAATCGTGTGTGTGCTTGTCTTCCTTTCTTGTTCCCGATCTCACTTTCAGACACCCAAGTATAAAAGGAGATCGAGAACAAGAAGGGAAACATAATACAAAATACATACATAATATGCATACGTACATAATATAAGGGGTCAGGAGGGCAAGACGGCAGTTCTAGCTATTTCGAGAAATACGTGTTTAAAACTTTAAAATTACTTAGAGCCTCATGGCGGAAAATAAGTTCAAACTCACATTTTGATGCTTAAAGATTGAATGTTAGTCATGAGTTTTTCACAGAATATTTAAATTGCAATTTTTTCAGAGACTGCAATTAAATTAGCACTTCCGAAAAGTCCAATTTTTCCAAATCATTTTTTTTTTAAATTTTTGCCGATGAATTAACGTAGTATTCCCTTTCCAAGAAGCGGACTACAATTTTTTAACGTTCCTCTTTCAAGTTTCCTCGGGTATTATGGTAAGGGCAATAGGAACTGAGAGTTTAAAGATACAACACTTTTTTTTTTGTTGTTTTTGAAAATGGACATTTTCGAAAGCTCCGCTTTACATATGCGCCTTATCCTCGAGGCCCCTAAAATAAAAATAGGATTTGATCGGTTCCGAGGCCGAAAAACGGTATCGTACCGAGAGTAGGCGGCTCCTGTGAGCACATCAGGCGTGGCGTCGATCGGGAAGCGAAAGCCGAAAGCACAACGACAACAACAACAACAACGACGACGACGACAACGGGAGCGACGTCTAAGCTTACCGCGGCACACTCACATCACCATGACGATGGAGAAGCTCCGGGCTCGAGGTCCGCGTGCGACCGAGATCCGAAATCGACTGGACCGCGCAGCCGCGCAGCTGCACCGCGGAGCTCGTGACCTGTCCCGTGCCCGCGCTCCCGCGGAGCCTCCGTCCGTCATTGCCCCCTCCGCACACTGCCCATAGAGTACCTTTACACAGAGTGATCCAAGGTCAAACCCTCAGACCTTCAGAGAGTCTTCTATGGGTCAAGATACTATTTGTTATTTTTCTATGGAATTTTTTTGCAAGAGAGTTTTTTAGGAGGTTACAGCTGGAGCACCCACATAGAGAAAGTACTACAAGTCGGTAATTTTGAGGTTAAGCCATGGAGCTTCTCAGAGTACCTTGGTAAAGAGAGTATGGATGTGACTTTCCACTCAGGCCAAAGGACCCACAGATGGCAGTGCTTTATATTGTTTTGGTTTTTGAGGAAAAAAGAGGTGTTATTGCCAACTTTTGACGGTTATCATCAACCACACTTGCTGCCAACCTAACTATATCCTAGATAATTTTTTTTCGAAAATAGCACACGATTAGCCATTGAACTTTGTCAATACGTCGTAATGATACATTTTAGTACGTTTCTCGTCGCGATATATATATATATATATGACCCGACATCATCGATATTGCCTATATTTTAGGGGCATT